CACACACACACACACACACACACACACACACACACAATTAAGAAAACCAAGAACACGTTCCTTGGGGAAGTAGGTAAGGATAAGATCAGTGTTCGTGTAATTAAATGGACGAGGGATGAATGAGAAGAAAGTTTGGGATGTTTGGGAGTACAAATCATAATAAGAAGAAAGAAGAGACAATGTTGGGATTAGAACAGAAGAGAACATGACAGAAGCAGAGGAGCTGAGCCTTGCTTCAATAAGATAGCTCACCATTGAGGTAGAGGCTGTCCTTGTCGAGTTTGTAGGGTCCCAGCCTGGTGATGCCATAAGTCTGGTTGCTCAGCTCCCAGTACACCTTCTCTCTGTCCAGGAAGGGGCTGGCAGGATCTTGCCAACGGGTGCATACAATATTCACATCAGTTGCACTGCCACCTTTCATTGATCTAGGAAAGGAAATGTTGATAAAATCTCCTAAGGTGCTGACTGACCTGACAAGGACTTGGGTATTGGGGCAGTGAAATTCAGATGTCGGAGATGATATGAAAAAGGTTGATAGGGACACAAAAAGGCTTGACAAACCCACACCACTTCTGTAGAGAAGAGTGTAGAATAACCAAAGATCTCCATTGCTGAAACTCCATGGACAAGAAAGATGGGGATGAAGCAGCAGGGGAATTTGAAAATGGAGGAAAGGTCACTTTGTGGAGATCCTATATTTGTAGCTTGTCTACTCTGAGCCCTGGTTGTGTGCATGTAGCCCGAGGGAAGACAATCTTAGAACTCCAAGTCTTAGCTCCCCAGGACTCACCTCAGTGAAATTAGCTTGCATCCAGAGTAGTAACAACCAATGCTGCTTTTCATGAATAAGGGATTGAGCTGGCAAAGGAAGGAAAAGGTGAGTGAGCACAGGGGCCTTATCAGGATGAAGCCCAAGGAATGGAGAAGACTATGGTACAGGAGGGTGTGTGAGATCATAAATCTAGAGCTGGAAAAGTCCTTAGCAGCCACCTTCTTAGTTAGCTACATATTATACTGCCTGCACTCTGTTCATCACCCTCATCTTCTTACCTCTTCCTAACAGACCCCTGGACTTTGAAAGGTGAGCATTCACTTTATCTTCACCAGAACCAGGGCTCCATGATACTTCTCAAACATTGTAACACCATCCGACCTTGAATGTATACTCTACTGCCTGTCAAGATACCCTTCAGGCTTTGTCTTAGACCTCCCCTCCCATTAGAATATAAGCTCCTTGAAGCAAGGGACTGTCTTATTTACTTTTATTTCTATTCCCAGTGCTTAGGACCATGCCTGGCACACAGTAAGCACTTGATTAGTAAATGTTTATTCATTTATTTCTTTATTGTTCCTTTCCACTCCTAATTTTGCAGATGAGAAAAACTGAGGCTCAGGGAGGTTAGATGACTTGCACAAGGTCATATAGGCAAGAAGCATCAGAGGTAGGATATGAACCCAAGTCCTATTACTCCAGAACCAGTGCTATTTTCCATTGCACAATCCCAAGGTCAGGGCATAGACTGAGAAATCTCACCAGCTGCTGTATGCTGCTTTCTACAGAACCAAAAAAGATAGCACCAGGGTCCTGCTTGTCTTCTCTGAAAGGCAGGTTGATGATAGTGAAGTTGAGGGTAAATGGTTCCATGATGAGGCCATTAGCTATGGTAGGGAAGAAAAAATACCCATGCTTGAGCCCTGGGTACAGCAAACAAATATACCCACTGACACCCTCTTCTTGGATTCTCCTATTCTGTCCTGGAAGGAAAACTCATACTCCATGGACCCATTCACATCGATATCAAGGAACCACTGCCATTTCCCCAACATTCTTTGCCTATTCGTCTCCCATTGTTCTTCCATCTTCTAGATAAACACAATAAGACACTCCTGGGAATGCATAATGAGCACACCCTTTGTACCTGAGGTACTGGACAATGGTGAGGGAGCTGTAGAGGTGGCTCGAGGAAAAGAGGTTCCAACAGGACCTGAGGATAAATCACGAACAATGGAAATCATCGATGAAGCCACAATGTGAAAAATTTCAGGTTGAGGAGAGAACTATTGCATGGGGAAAAAAAGTGGTCCATTTGATTTAGTCACAGAATCCCTTAGGGATGATTCAAAGTAGTGTGGGATAGTGCTGAGCAATCACAGGAGGAAACAGATATTTGTGTAATGGACTGCTACAGGCAACACTTGTCAGCCTCTGTGCTTCCTGTCTAGAATGCCCCAGGAGTTCACTTTCTTTAGGATTTGTGCGGGATACATGAGCTTATTTCAAATGACTTTGGGAATATTTTTTGATTGGCTGGTAAATCGACTGCAAGAAATATATCTATTTATTTTCTTCTTTTTTCTTGGTGTGTGTGTGTGTGGGTGTGTGTGTTTGTGTGTGCATGTGTATGTATGTGTATGTATGAGTGTGTATGTGTTGCAGGAGGGTGTTGAAATATACAACACATCAAGGTCACCATCCCCTACCCACCCTGATCCTGTCCTTTTATGGAGGGTAAGTATTGCTTAGAACAAGGTGATCTTTAAGGATAAAGGTCCTTTTTCTTTTCATAATCATATACTCTCCCCAGCTTCCAGGTGGCACCCACTGGACATTCCCCAGGGTATTAATGTTGCTGAATTTCCACCTGTGGAGACTCCAGGCTCTGGATATGCCATGGGAGTTGTAAATGATGATAGAGTGGGTGCATCTGAACCTGTAAAAAAAAATGAAATGATATTGAAGAGTGACAGAGATCACAGTAGCCTATAACTATGTGGGGGTCATCCCAATATTCAAGTGGTCATTAATTCAGTGTTGTACATTTGGGAAATGCCTAACAAGGATTTCAAAAATGACTGAATGAATGTGGACAGACCATTCTGGTTGAATTAGCTGCCCGGAGACTTCCATAAGGACATTGGGTAAAGTGCCCAGCTGGTGACACGATTAGCAGAAGTGGCATTTAGAGGTAACAAGGGACACCATCCTGAGGTCTCCTTCAGAAAATCTCTCTTAAAGAGCTGAGGTCCACTCTTAATTTCCCTGATCATTCCACAAGAATTTCTTGCAAAGTTATCACCATGCAGCCTCAGAAAGAGGACCTGGTAAGCCCAGGAAAAGAAACACTGTCTCTGCATCAGGAAGGGCCAGAAGGAACCAGAGCCCATTTTTTCCC